CTGTGCTGGTAGCGGTCTGGGGATTGATACCCCTATAATTGTCTGAAAAGGGCTCTTATTTCCCCCAGAAATGGGTGGAAACGGCTGGAAATCTTTGGGAAATAAAAGCAGTTTGAATCCAGCCCCAAACTCGCTACCAGAACGGACAGGAATCAACAAAATCGCCATTGAAGGGCATTAATACGCATTGGTTCTTTCAGTCAATCAAGTACGGACCTGGACACGAAAAGTTTCCTTCGTGGCCAGTGCCGGCGGCTGCAGAAGCCTCCGCGCGCGCCTCCTCCGGAGGAGGTTCTAGCAGGTCCAAATCCTGGACAGATCACACCAATTATCCTAAAGAGAAGACGATAGCATACACCAGACCACACATGAAGCGCCAACATTCCCAATACACGCAACAGGTAATGAAGATCTTTCAAGGTTTCTATTTGGTCTGCTTTGGAAGAATACTCCTTTCATCCTATTAATCCATGGCGTCATCATCATCATCATCATCATCACCATTTGAAGATTAAGTCTCACAGTTGGTGAACATCATCAGTTTGGTTTAGTCGAACGAAAATTGTCGCATGACACAATCGGGCCGATCCCATCTTGCATAATGCCATTCACGGTGCGAAAATCCAGTTACAATATGATTTTTTCTTGACCTAAATGTACAAGTGTGACTTACAATGATAGATTTTATTATCGGCTTGACACTTAACGCTTAGAGCGCATGAGATAAATCGTTGTAATCGCCACCTTGCCATCGCTTCATGTCTTGCACTTTCATTCGTCACTGTCGCGTTGCATTTGCAAAAAACACGAAAAAATTAGATGAAGCCATTGTATTCTCACCACAACCAGTCGAGTCGTAATTGTTTGTCGTCTTATTGATTAATAACATTATTGATCAATATTTCCATTTCTTGATCATGGGCCGGGACATTGGGATTGTCTTGGACGGAAAATATTTGCTTGTGTCTTTCCCCAAAGAAATATTCAAGGTGGATGAGGCATTAACGAGGTCTTCAGCTAGGCAAACAAGAGTACGGGCCATTTTTTTTCGCATTTTTGCTTTTATCGTTTTAGAGATTAGAAATTTTCAAAGAAACCCCATAGTTGGAATCTTTTACTAACACTCTTCTATTTTTTGTCGTTTCTGAACTACGCCCTGTCAAACTTTGCCAATTCCCCAAGCGTTCATGTTCTTGCTGCTAACGTTTCAGAGGTTACGAATTTTTGGTAAACCCCAGAGCTAAAATACAGTATTTGAGATGCTCTATCGAAAAGGACCTTACTAATACTCAACTATTTAGCACCGTTTCTGAGCTACGCCCTTTCAAACTTCTGCAATTCCCCAAAATTTCATATTTTTGCCTCCAACCTTCTAGAGATTAAGAATTTCTGATGCAATTGCTGCAACACAGCCTTTGAGAAGCTCTATCGAAAAGGTCCTCATTGATGCGCAACTATTTCCCACCATTTCTGAGCTACGTTTTTCTGAAATCCAGAGATTCCTCAAAGTTTCAAGCTTTTGTCTCTAACGTTTTAGAGCTGTGGAATTTCTAATAAAACCCCTAAGGCAAAAACAGTCCTTCAAATGCTCTATCGGAAAGGTTCCCATATTCAGCTATTTCCCACTGTTTCTGAGCTACGCCCTTTTAAACTTCCGTAATTCCTTGGCGTTTCAAGCTTTTGCTTCTAACTTTTTAGAGATAAAAAATCGCAGATCAAGTTCAATTGCGAGGTTCCTGATGCATTCTACCGAAGACATTATTAGGGACATTTAACTATTTTCAACAATTTGGGGGGGTAAGAAATTTTTCCGAGGAGAAGATTAAACGCAGTTTTCTACGTGATGAATCGGAACAATTCCTTGAAATTTTGGGCTTTCTTAAAGCATGAATATACAAAGAGACCGGCTTTGACCTGCTCTATCAGAATGGGCCCTTTGGCTAATCAGCTATATTCAACCGGCTTCAAACTATGTGATTAGAGCGCTTTTAGGTGGCAATTCTTTCACCAAAATGCAGTTTCCGAAACTGTTACTTTGCTTCTTTTGCTGGTTTAGGTTCTGAAATATTCTCCGCTGAACAGTTTCTTCTAAGCTCAATTGGCTATTGTAGAATGAGAACATTTAAACAATCTTTGCTACCATTTCAAGCCTATTTCTTCCAAACGCAAACACGTCCAATTATTTCTCATACGAAACGTTATTGTTTGCCCTGAAATGTTAGCCAACTTGAAAGAATAAATTGCGTCTTGCTGCTGCTGCTGTTTATTGCCGTAATTTCATTTTTGCGTTTAGAATCTGCAATTCATCCAACCACTTAGCCATTTAGTTTGCAAAGTCGATGCATGGCCAATTAACCAAACTTGTCGGTGGAAACACACAATAACACATGCATAAACTGTAGTAAACGGATTTTTACTCGCGTACCTTTTGAAATGCAATCTGAAATTATGTTGCTAAATCACTCAGATTATTAACAGATAACATTAATAACTATAATTCAGTACGTTGTCAGAACCATGCCACGCATTAACCAGAACATGGAACATGGTGTCTGCAGGCTGAGTCATATGATTCGTTTTTTATTCTTTGTTGGCCGCAATATGCGTAAAACATATGTCAATCTTTTCAATTAGTGATTGTTCTTTGAATCAGTTCTTCATTTGTAATTGTTGAAATTATCCACCGACAGAAATCCGATAACATTCCTCTGGGAAATCACCGTGGAAATACGCCACACGGTCAGCATACTTTCCTTCAATTTAGCAGCGATTTTAATTACGCACTCTCAGCGATTTTTTCGTACTTACTAGCGAAGCAAACCGGAAAAAGTTGAAAAACCGCCGACAACATCCATAACGCTAGGAAAAAAGCGGACCTATTATACCCATCGTGCCGCTGAAATTACCCTACTTTATTTTACAAATACGCGGCTGCCATATAAAGCGTAATTAACAAAGCAGATATTACAAATTACTGGCTAATAACCGGTAATTACAATAGGAAATATTATATCTTCGGGCGATTGAACTATACCATACCACTTTGGTGTCTAGCTTCTATCTAGCATGTCGATCTATGGAGATTTCAACTAATTAGCATGCAGACTGGCTAATTGTTCTTCTAGAACTCGATATGTTTCACAAAGATTAGCAGCCAAGTTTCCTGCAGATGCAAAGCAAAAATCAGCTGTGCATCTACAGGGTTTTTGTTGGTGCACATTTGCACATTGCAATTGAGAGTTTGCAAGACGCATTCGAAAAATTCCCAAACTTCACTCGAGCCCAATAAACTTTCAAAATTCTCCTGCTTAATTGAGGCAAGTTTTTTGTATGTTCTGGGAAAATTTCAACTCTTTACCTGCAGCGGAAATTAAACTGCGAATTTTAAACAAGTTTGAAAAATTCTCAAAATTCTTCAGACAGTCAAAATGTGGTTGCTCCTTAGCTCCTAGGTAATTTACGCTGTGATTTTTTAACAGATCCTGCACAGCACAACGAAAATTTCTAAATTCTAATCGTAAAAAAGTTCCAAAAATGTTCTACAGTCTAAAAGATTCCAGATTATTTTTTCGCATAAAATCATGCTTTCTACATGTTCCGCGAGAATTCGAGCCTGCACAGCGCAAAAAGACATCGAAATTGTAAACTTGCAAAATTTCCAAAATCCTCTAGCGTCTTAACTATTCGGGATTATTTTGTCGGATAAAACGATGCTTTTTGCGTGTTCTGGGGGATTTTTAAGTTTTTGGCTACGGCGCAATTTAAACTACGAATTTTGTAATAAGAGCCTGCATAGACGCAACAGAAAGTTAAAAATTCAAGTTTGACAAATTCCGCAAATTCCCTCGACGCCAATAAACATTCAAAAAATATCTCTACTAAAGCCATGTTTGCTGCACATTTGGTGAAAATTTCAACTTTTTAGCTGCTCAGCATTTTAAGCGTAAATTGTTTTTAAACAATGCCCCTGCCTAAAAGGGAATTCGAAAATTTACAAAATTCACGAGTGTCTAAAACATCCCAGGCTTTTTTTGGATGAAACCATGATTCTGGTATCTTCTAGGCAAATTTGCAGGTCGTTACCCATAGCGCAATTCAATCTGCAATTTTTTAAACACAGGCTGCATATTTGTAATAGAACGTTGAAATATCAGGTTTGAAAAATGCTCAAAATTCGCTGGAATATAATAGACATAGTCATCAAATTTCCCGCTGCTAAAACCATCTTTGTTGCACATTCAGAGATAGTTTTAACTCTTTACCAACTGGAAAACAGAGCCGGCGAAAGAGAATGCGAAACTTTAAGTTCCCTAGAGCCTAAAACTTTCAGCTTTCATGTTCACTTGCCGAATAAACCCCTACTTCCTGCATATTCTGTGCACATTTCAAGTCTCTACCTGCAGCACAAACTGTGATATTTCTAAACATATCCTGCACACTTCTGACACGGGAATGTGCAGACTGTGTGAATCTTTCAGATAACTTTGCAAAAAACACCAAATCACTTCCCCTTCTTAGAAACGTGTGTTCCACGTCCAATAAGTTGATCTAATTCTTTCCAGAAGCTGAAAACTGTTATGGAGCGATGCGAAAAAATTCCCCCAGAAACTTTCGAGTCGCGCCAATCCGAGAAACTGAACGAACGCTTATTCTTGCCCAACGTCGACCACGATGGAAAGCCTTTAGGCGATGTTGACTACAGCGTGCCTTCGCCACCCGAACGGGAATACTCCAAACCGCAACTAACTCAGAAGGACCTGGAGGAGTACGCCAGATCCTATCAAGAGCCGGTTAAATTCGAGTACGAGACTCCTCAGGACAGCAATCACAGACTAACCGAGAGTGGTTTAGAGGAATTCATGGAGTACAACCGAAATTATGAGGAATCCTTGTTCAGCTCTCTAACCTCCAAACATGAAGATGGCATTCTCACGCATATTCAACATCAAAAGCAAGTGTCCTATGCCCAGAGTGAGGGTTATCACAGCTACGTTTCTAGCACTGATTCCACATCAACACCATTTTTGGATAGACTCAGGCGAGATAGCGATGCCGTGGTATCGCGTCCTCATTCTTCGACAACATGGGAAGAAGAATCATCCTGTTCGAGAAGAGAAGGCAGAGACAGTGTGGTCACCACTAGCTCCGGAAGTGCTTCTTCTAGTGAAACCCTCAAATGGCATGGTATGTTTTCGATCAAATCAAATTAAATTTAACACGTATTTAGTCTCCTTTTTGCTGCAGGTTCAATGAGCGATGTCTCAGTGGCTAGCAGCTCTTGCACCCATCTTGCCAGCCCTTCCAGTTCTTCGTCAAGGCAATTAATCGCTCATAGTGCACGCGTTCAGACCCCTCAACGCCACCATTCCGAAAGTGTCTTGTACATGAGCGGACAAAGTGAGGGCAAGAAAGTGCCAAAGGAGGGTTGGCCAGAGAAAGAAAAGCGAAACAATAGTGTAAATAAGTTGAAATTGTTTCCTGTGAATACCTACACGGTGCAAGATGGAACAGGCGATCGGCCACTGGAAAGCTCGAGTGGGGGAATAAATAATAGCTCTAAGAATAGGTAAGCAGTACAGGGTTAATAGTTTTACCAGTTAATTGTACTGGATAAAATGATAGTTTTTAAACTTGGGACATTTTTAAGCGGGAATGCAAATAAATTAAAACTGAATGTACTGGTTATTAATAAACTGGTTGCGGTCAATAACACTGGGAGCAAAAATTCGTAGATCCTCCATTAACATCGGTATTTATATTATTATTCTTCGACTGGCGCTGGGAAGGAAGGCGAATTATGCTTAATTAAAATTTGCATCTAATTGCCGGATTTGTTTAACATGAGTTGAATCATGAAGAATTGTTGATTCAAACAGTGTTAAGCTTTCGGGGCTAATTATTGAAACTGATTTTTGATGCTTTCAATCTCTACTGGTTTGGACGGAAGGAATTTTTGAAGAACGACGGGGAAATTTGGACGAAAAGCTCATTGTCAGTCGCATTTTTGAGTAATTCCCAAAATTCAGTCGAAGTTTTTGTCATTTACTGCCACGAAAGACGCGTTTCAGTCTCTACTGGTTTGAACGGAAGGAATTTTTGATAATGACGTGTAAATTGGGGCGCAAACGTCGTTGCAAGTCTCGTTTTTGAATAGTTCTCAAAAGTCGGCTCAAACCTTTAGGGAATCCAAACTCTGAATCACAAAGTGAAGTTTTCTTTAGTCGCTGCCACAAAAGGAGCGATTCAGTCTCTTCTGGTTTAGACGTAATGAAACTTTGAAGAACGACGGCAAAGAACTTTGAAGAACGACGGGTAAATTTAGAAGCGCGAGTCATTGCAAGTCCAACTTTGAGTAATTCCAAAAATTTCGGTCCCAATTTCCAAGACAAAGGAACTATGAAGAACCATAGAGCACAGTTTTCTCTATTTTAGGACACAAAAAACGTTATTCCATCTTAACTGCTTTGGGCGGAATTAATTTTTGAAAAACAACGAGAAAATTAAGGTGCATTGCCACTTTAAGTCATTGCAAGTCCCACTTTGAGTAATTTCAAAAATTTGCTCCAAACATGCAAAAAAGCGATACTTTTAGGAGGCATAGTATGAGGCTTGATCTATCTAGGCGCATAGAAAGCGCGATCGAATCTCTACTGGTTTGGTCAGAATGTATTTTTGAAAAACAACGGGAAATTTTAGATGTCTAGTCATTGCAAGTCTCAATTTTAATAATTCTTCAAATTCACCCCAAAGGTGCTAGAAAATTACTCTCTCAAGAATCCAAGAGTGAGGTTTGCTCTGTTCATTGCCATAAGAGCTGCGTTTCAATCTCTCTTGGTTTAGTCAATGTAAAATTTTGAAAAACAATTGAAATTTTGTCTGATTTTGAGTACTCCTCAAAAATTATCCCACACTTCCAAGAGGACAAAACTTCGGGGAACTACCAAGTGAGGTTTACTCTATTTTGGACCACAAAACCAGTTTTCCTTCTCAACTGGTTGGGACGTAATGCGCTTTTGAACAACGACGGCTAAATTTACTCTCCGTTCATCTCATGTATGATTTTCAAAAATGCTCAAAATTCAGCTCGAACCTGGAAGGAAGCAAAACTTTGACCAATCATAGAACCAAGTTTGATCTATTTACTGCCAGAAACGGCGCGTTTCAATCTCTACTGGTTTGGACGTCATGAATTTTTGAAAAACGGCGGTTAAATTTATTCTCAAAAGCCTTTTGCCAGTCTCTTTTTGAAAAATTCGCAAAATTCAGACAAAATCTTCACGGAAACGACTCTCTGACAAATGATCGAGTCAAACTTGCTCCGTTTATAGACACAAAAAGCGCGTTTCAACATCAAAAAACAAATTTTTGATACATAAGTCATTGCAAGAACTTAAATATTTTTGAATATTTCTAAAAATTCAGCCCAAACCTTTAAAGAAACAAGACTCTGCCGGATTATAGAGCGACGTCTGCTCTGTAGACTGGCAGAAAAAGCACGCTTCAGTCTCGGCTGGTTTGGACGTAATGATTTTTTGAAGAATGGCGAGTAAATTTAGACGCAAAAGTCGCTGCAAGTCTCAAATTAAATAATTTTCAAAATAAATCCCAAACCTCCAGGAAAACGAATCGCTGAGGGAGTATAAAGTGAGATTTACTCCACTTTGGGAGTCACAAAGCGCTTGTCCATCTCAACTGGTTCGGATGGAATACGTTTTTGCCAATTAAGACGCAAAATTTTCGCTTTGAAAGAAAACCTTCAGTTTCCCTTCGTTTACCGAAAATTCTCAAAATTGCCATTCGATTTATTAGCGTGTGTTCTTTCAGATTATCATTATCGCTGCAATCAGCTCTCTCCGTTGCTGACCGTATCAGCGAGCTGGAAAAGCAACAGAAATACTCATACTTAGATCCAAATAAGAAACACAAAGTTCCTGATCCTACTCTTAAGGCAATTCAGAAAAAGGCACTTTTATCGTTCTACGAACGGCACCAGCAGAATGGCAGCACAGCGAAGAACCCATGGAGGTCCGAACCACAATTAGCTGACAGTCAGCAACCGCTCAGCGTACCGCAAGCGACTCTACCAAAAGTCAGACCGTCGCTACCTTCCAGACGCGCTTCATCAGCTAGCGATTATGCTTCAGCAAACAATTCGAAGAGAAGCAGTTTGGCTTCGTCCTTAGAGTCTCGGACTACCGATCATATAGGTGGGTACTTTGGTGGTTGAAAAAAGCGACATTTTTAATCGCTTTATCGAACTAAGAAAACAGTTTTTTTAGGCAATGGAAAATCAACGCCTCGGCACCAACACAGCAACTCTTGTGGCAGTTTATCCACCGATCTACTTGGCCCAGTAATAGTAGGTCAGGCCATATCAGTGGACGACTATGTGCCGGAAAAACCTCCAGAACGGCCGCCTAAAAACCCAAATCTCCGAACCGCATTTCCGGATTTGTACTTGGAACAACGGGTGCCCAGTCCGGACCTGCCGCCTCCATCACCTCCCACTGTTTTCGATCAGGAGGTGATTGATAATGGCGATCCGCTGCCACCGCCACCTCCAGAATGCGAATCCAATTGGCACGATTTTAATGACAGGTACGTAGCCAAGGGCGGATCCAGGGGGGGTCATGGGGGTCACTCCCCCATTCAATTCTCTATCCAACGATGCCAAAACGAATTCTGTGGCTCAAATGGTTCTTGAGAAACTTCGAAAAAAGCAGCGTCATGTTCAAGTGGATTTTGCACCTCAGAAAAAAACCACGCAAATCTACAACTTCTTAAATTCAAGCATTTTTTGAAAAAACTGCCAACATTTCCTTATCGATGGTTCACTTTCTAAAAAGGCCATTTATTTCTGTCTAGAATGATGTACAAATGAGCGTTCTTGCTCATTT